TGAGGGTCCAAAGATAGACAATGCACATTTCCACACTGTGGAAGAGACATGGATTTGAGATTTTGGACTAAACACAATGAATTGCCCAGACATCGAGGCTTTAACAATTTCTGAGATGCTATTAGAAAATGCAGGTTTGGACATTTTGATGGTGTATTTATTTTACTGTCCATGCTCAATCATAAATGGATTGCTAAAAATAAAATGCACTGAAATCTCCTCGAGTGCTCTGCTTAAGTCATCTGACCAAACCATCTGCTGGACCTGTTCTGAACACTGGAGTGGATGAGTGGACCACACACACACACACACACACACACACACACACACACACACACACACACACAGAAAAATACAAATCAAACAAACACACAACACACTTGTACACAAACTGTATGTACGTACAAATGCAGAACCTGTGCAGATCAGACAGAAAGAACACGGCCACTTGAAATTAGGGCCCCTCTTGTTCAGTAGCAGAGTCACCCTGATAAGATAAAATTGTCCAGGTACTGTTGAGTGCTCTAATCAGTTTGGTTTGTGTGTGCCTCTTATGCCAATAATACTTGCTGTTTTCAATAGTGCACACATACAATTTAATTCTGCAGTCAGGTTTAAATCAGATCGCTGTTCAAAACAGGTCACATCGTGTTTTGTATTGTGATTTTCTATTATATACGTTGAATCTCTGTATGCAGATAAGACGTCTGTGATCAGCGCAGGTAAACGCCATGCACCACTTGAGATGATGAGGTTGTTTTTTCTCCCATAGTAACAGTCACCCGGCAACCGGTATGAGTGCCAGTTAAATTGGTAGAACTCTATACCCCACTGGCTGCCTCACACATACCCTTCCTCACCCTCTGTTTAACCCACAGCCTCTCTCGCTCTCCTCCCCATCACTTCCACCTTTGCTTGTGTGCGTTTGTGTCCGAGGGCATCTGCATGTGAGTCAGCTGCACCCTCAGCACCTGGGACATTACCTCCAGTCTCCACAGGGGAAACTGCATCGCTGACACTGTGAGTTTAACATATCTGCTGTTGCTTTTTGCAAATTAATTTGACAGATTAAAAAATGCAGTATATGTATAAATATGTATAATTGGATTTTTGATTTTATTGAAAGTGAGTGTTTTCTTCTTAGCTGGAGATTTGTAATTTAATTTAATTTATCACCGTATCTCTATTTTGTTCACACTGTATATATTATAGGCCATGTATATATATTTTATACTCTTTATATTTCCTAATATTATAAGTTTAGCATGTTTACTTATTATTTTTGTATCTATCTTTGTCTATCTAATCATATCACATCTTATCTTATGTTATCTTATCTTATCTTATTTTCTCAGGGTAAGACCCTGTTTATTCGCTGTCCAGGTTTGTCGATCAGGAATCCGAGTCAGAATCTCTGTGGGTGTGTAAGAGAGGAGTGGGAGGTCAACATGGGCTCCAGCTCCTCCTCCTATGCCCCCAAAACCATTTACCTGGATGTGGATGGCAAGGTGCAAAAGGTAGGTCCCATCCCAGTGGAAATGTTTTTCCATTTTTAAAATCATGCTCATAACCAAACGTTTTGTTTGAGAACTAATCTGACCAAAACACTGACCAGTTTCATGGACATGTAAATCTTTGTTTATAAATGTGCTGGTAAATATGAATTAATTAAGGTCTGGATATATTGGATATATACAAATTTAAGATTTAATATAAACTATGTTTGCATGTGGATTATGTGTCAACCTAAAGATAAAATGGATAAAGTGATAAATGAAGCTGTTGAAATGTTTGTCATCAAAAGTTTATTGGAAAAAACAATAATAATAAAATATTCAAATGTGAATTTAATCTCATCTATTAAATCGAAATTATTTTTGCTATTTTAATACACTGATAATGATGTTGAGGTTAATTAAAAAAAGTAACCTTGAGTAACTTGTCAACTATGTCAATTAAATAATTCCCTTTATAATTCACCTCCCTGACTCACGTAGAAAGTGTTCCCCATGGACTGAGTCACCTGAGGAGCTAAAATTAGACGGTGGTGCGTTTGCCTTTCAAGTGTTACTGACAGAAACAAACACCTGTTATTAGCAGCTCACACACCCTTTCTGCTGACTTGCAGCTCTGACAGAAATGATGGATTTGGTTTAATCTCTTCCCTCGCTCAGGTTTACAGACGCAGCAATCAAACAACTGCTGTAAAACAGCATATAGCCCATTTCAGCTTTTTAATCATCATCGACGACAACAGAGCAGCATTTTAATGATCATTAACACAGTCGT